AATGAAATAGCTTGGCCGATAGCGATATATAAAATATAAATCAAGGCGCAGCAGATAAATTGATTTTCAATCAGCGGGCGTAAATTCGTGTTTCAGCGCGATTTCGGGATAAAAATGTGCGGGCTCGACGGTGCTCGCGGCGCAAGTTTCGATAAAAGTCGACGACGAAAATCATTAATGAATCCCTCAACGTCATCTCTTTGTCGAGCATTATGTACGACGCCGCACAAAGTCCCTTTTTTTTCTCGCGCGCGCGCCTGCATTTTTTCCCCTTATCGCGTTGCATTATGTAACCGCGAAAAAAAACTCACAGGCACAGGCCTCGAAATGAAAATACATCCTTCACTTCATCAACACTTCATAAAGTTCGGGCGTTGCGCATGCAGCAGCGGCAGCAACCAGCTGAGCGAGACAGAGCTGATTGCTGCGCGCTCCAGCTATATACGCGTATTGTTACAAAGAGTACAAAGGCGCGAGAGCGAGCTGCTGTGCGCTGCAGCCTCGTCGCCGATGTTAAGAATTTCCCTTGCGAGCTTGCGCATATACATTGATAATACATATAAAACATCGCACGCGCCTAGCTATACATGTATACAATACGCGAGTGTGCAAGAGCATGTGAGGCTATGCGCGTGGATGTGTGTCGTCGTAATACGTACGTGTATTCCACAAAGAAATTCCGTCGAGCTATTATCTCGCGATCGTTGCGCTATTCAGCAGCGATTTGGCTGGTACGCGCGCGAATTTCGACCTAGCAGAGACTCGTGCTGCAGTTGTAAGTGCGCGTGTATATAATCCTCGGCTCGCACTGCACAGAAGGGAAGGGGCCAGATAATACAGGCTCGCACACAGACACGGCTATATGTGCACGTTATAATGTATACATACACATCGACGATGGCAACAGTGGCCCTCTTCATTATGCAGAGCAATCATGGGAGCAGCAATATTCGAGCCGCTTTCGAAAGCTCTATCAATTATGAAGTTTCACGAAGCTCTCGCGACTCTCGTACTTGCGATTATATACTATTACACAATGTATACTATATAGAATATATAGTACGCGTGTCGTCTGCTGTTGTGCGCAAGTGCATGTGCCACTCGGAAGGGCAAATGACGATCGGTATTACTGCCGACGAGCTCATCGATGAGTTTCAGAAAAGCCTCGTTAAATCTTTCTCTCCTCGCTGTAACCTCTTCCCCTCCAATTCCAAAACACCCCCCTAGTGCAGTACGATCGCTATCCATACTGTATTTTCTTGTTTATCGTCTCGTTAACGATGCAAGAATCGGTTCTTTATTCATGCGCGAGAATTGCCCGATTCCGTGGGCCGACGGTCCGTGCTGTACACGTCTGTGACGTTACACGTTTCTATTAATGACCCCTCATGGTTTAGGATTATCCTCGACAGAGAGAGGAAGAGATCAACGGACTTTGAGCTTAGAGCGCCGCACGACAGGTTTTTTTTTACAGAAAAACGACGCTCTGATTCGGAAAAAAGCAATTAATGATTTTGAGGGATTTGAGAGAAGGAAACGCAATTTCTATTCGGATGAAAAAAATGTAATTTTGAAGCTGCCACTTATTCGACGATTTTAATTGGCATTTACATGAGAATGTGAAATTCCATTTACCGGTGGGAAAATTTTAACAAAATTTTATTTCAGATACACAAGAGGATCTACGTCGTAAATCACAAATCCTCGGCGCGAGAAAGCGAAAATTAATTTCTTCAATCAACAATTTTACTTTTCTCATCTTCATCATTGGCTATTACCGCCTTCGACCGAGGGTGGAAATAGTTGCGCGCACAAAAAAAAAGTACAGTCACCACCTCGATTTTTGCTGATGGAAAATCGTCAGATGCAATACGAAATCGCGGCCAACCAATTCGTCATTGCTGTATATATCCGATAACTCAATCGGAGTTTCTCGCAGCCGTCGCCGAGCAAAAAGGAAAAGAGGGTCGAGCGGAAGAGCGAGAGAAAGAGGCTTGCTTCTGCTGCTTGGCCTATGAGCTTGCTAATGTCCTCTGAAATCAATAATAAGATGAAAAAAAGTGACGGGACGATTTTTTTCCAATTTTCTTCTTCTTTTTTTTTTTTTTTTTGCAAATGGAGCTCGCCGCAACCTCATTAAGTCAACCGGCTCATTATACGCTTAGAAAAAGAAGCGAGGGTTCGTCATGGTCTCGTTAAAATTTCGCAATTATTCATCTTCGGGGAAAACCACGCGAGAGCCTGTGTTTGGGTACGTAAACGTAGGTACGCGACACACATAAGGTTCTGATGCTCATTGTCACCGCACGACTGTACGGCCGGAGCTAGTGTTCGTAGACACACGAGAGCTAGTCGAAATTACAATGCGTCACTTTTTTTATTTTCCACTACTTTTTTTTTCGTCAAACAGCCGCGAGTTCATTCGTATGATAATGCAAATTCCCGAGGCTCGCTTATCTCTTTACTTAGCTTGACGGAATTTTTTCTCTCCCCTCACTCTGGGGGTGCATGAATATAATCCGTTTGCTGATGAGATCGATCGTTTCAGCACCAACTTTCTTTAAAAAATGTAGCATATCATTCGAAAAGTTCGAGTTCACAGCTAAATGATTATTAAATTTATAAATGTAGGTCGCAATTTTCCTCGTGTCAATCCCTATTGAAGTTTTTTGAGAAGTTCTCACTTCCTTCATGGCTATCATTTTCAAGAACTTATACGTCGATCTAACTTCGAGACCGATTAAAAATTGTTTTCGCTCTCTTTTTCGCGATGATGGATAATTAATTCAAAAAATCCTCCTTTCCCGTCAGGGTAACGCAAAATCATGCGGACTCCGATCCAATTTTTTGTTACTTTCGCTCCGCACTGATCAGCTGATCATCCACTTTCGCGTCTACAGTGTCTATGTGCAAAAAAAAAAAGAAAAAAGAAAAGAGAACTCGTCCTGTAGCGTCGATTCGTTATCTCCAGCTATACATGCAAACGTGTACGTACGCACACACAGAGGCGTGCAATTACTTGATTGCTCTTCTACGAGTGCACACATACACACGGTACACGGAGGTATGGCGGGCGCGCGCGTGCCGTGCGTGGCTCGATCTATATACGCTCGGAACAATTGTTGAAATTTTTTTCCTACACGCCCCCTCGTCCGAAGCGAGGAGTTTTTTAGCTTATACGATCGATGAATTTACCTTTTACCGATCGCGCGCTTTTGACGCATTTCGAAATAGTCAATATCGTTTGGAAAAAGCTGTTTCTTTGTGCGTTCGAGCAAAAAAGAGAAGATCTCGCTGCAGTCGCACATACAGAACACGAGACTGAACACACGCGCACACAGACAGAGGCGGACAAACACTCGGAGTTGAGACGCAGACAGAGATACCCGAGTAAAAGTCTGCTACTCCGCTACGTGCACGTATTTATATAGAGTTGGAGCAAGTCTGTGTACACGACGACGAAGCGCGTGTGTACTTGTTGTGCGAAACATCGTGTCGTCATTCGACGGCTTTGCAATATATCGAGGTCTCTGGAACGAGCGTAGCCTCTGGGTATTCAATGTGATACACTGCCGAAGTGCATACGTATATAGAGACGTATAGCCGTGCGCGCACATACATGCACACACATACGCGCGAGGCTTTCTCTCAAGAACGGCCAAATCCACTTTTTGTCTTTTCCCCGCAGATAATCGAGTTGCGAGTTTTTCTTCGGCCACAGCTGCGGGCTCAAATTAGCCGCGCGCCCCTTCGGAGCGAAGCCGCGCCAAGTCGACGTAACGTCAACGATCCGCGTGTATACATCTTCCGCAACGTCGAACTTGGGCGAAAAATTCCTCGTCTAGAGCTCGACACAATGTGCAGCAGCAGCAGGGTATGTGTTTTCGGTGGTGTGCGCGCGCGTTGACGCCTCGGCAGCTCGTTTCGTGCCTGCGTGACATGTATTGCGAGGACTCGAGAGCGAGCTCGTTTGCCGACGACGAGTTTCACGTACGTATACAGCAGCCAGGCTATACGTATAGCTGGTGCGTGCGTATACACACACTGGAGGCTCGCTATCACGAACGTGTCGTCTATTTCAATTACATGCAAATCCTAACAAGCCTCTGCCGCTTGGCCGCTCCAGAAGCGCCTCCGAACATACATTCCTGTTATGAGACTAATCGAACCTTATCATCGTACACTTAATGTACAAGCGAGTCTCGACGCTGCATGCGAAGCGTCGTCGTCGTCGCAGCAGAGGCAAGAAAAAGGATCGATCAATCTGCCAAAGATAAATCGACGCGATAAACGAGCAACCGCGTGTGCATGATTATCTCTCTCTCTCTCTCTCTTTCTCTGCTGCACCAAGAGCAGTAGTCGCATCAAGAGCATTCTTGTGGCGCAGGCTTGAAAATAAAATTAAACGTGACCTCAGAGCCGGCTCTCTCTCTCACTCGAGGAGAGCAGAGTATCTCTCGAGCCTGCGTTTTTCATCATGTACACATAAACTCGTCGAATTTATAATGTACCTCGCATCCCTGGACTATCCTGTTTGGCAAGTTTAAGGTCATCTACGCGCGCACCGAATCCATCGCGCGTACGGATATGCCGAATTTTTGCGCGCGTTTTCATTCAGTATGAAAATAGCTTTATTTAACGACGCATACGTATTCGGGTGCAGCAGGCGCCTGCGTGTATACCCCAACGAACTTATTCGAATACGAATTTTGTTTCTTTGTCGATCGAATCGTGCAGCTACGTAAAGAACGTCGAGTGTGTGTTTGTTGTGTGCGTTGATCGTTCGATATACCTTAACGCGAATATATCGTTAACACTTTTACGTTTTGCCAGTGAGAATCGATAGTCGCGCGCACGATGATCGATATGTTTTTTACGAGTATAAAAGCCGGTAATTGCAATTGAATTCGAGTCGACTGCACGGCTAGAAAGCCGAGATGCGTGTTTAATCGCGATCGGCCGATCAGTTTTCTCGATATTGTCACGCTCGACCGGTCGACTTTTACCGTCGCGCGCGTCGTTTCTCGCACTGCATCGCGAATAAATATTCAAAGTGAGCCATGAACAAGTCCATGATCAATGTCTGCGGCTTGACGCTCCTGTTGTGGTGCTACGTTTGCGCGCCGAGCGACGCCCAGGACAATTCGACCCTGCACAGATTGCCCAAAAACGTCTGGCCGGAATCCTACGATTTGTTGATACTCTCCAACGTGACGAACGGCAATTTTACTTTCAAAGGCCAAGTCGTTATTACTTTGAGTGTGATCGAGACAACCGACCGAGTCGTTCTTCACGCCGAGAAATTAAAGATCGACCAAGAGAATGTCACTCTTCGTCGTATCGATTCCGACGAGGAGGATGCTGCTGACGTTCGGATAAAGGGACAGTCCTACGACGAAGAAGCGCAATTTTTCACCATCGAACTCGAGGCAAGTTTACTACCTGGCAGTTACGAGCTTAGCTTGCGCTTCGAAGGAAGCGTACTGGACGATCTGTTTGGCTTTTACCGGAGCTCTTACAAAATCGGCAACGAGACGAGGTAAAAATTGTTTCTCTCTATGAGCTATCTTTCTCATTTTTCATCGTACTGTGTATCGCAAAAGATGGCTCGGTGTCACGCAGTTTTCACCGACGTTCGCGAGAAGAGCTTTTCCGTGCTTCGACGAGCCCGGATTCAAAGCTACGTTCCAGTTGCGTTTGGGGCACTACGACAACGAAACGGCTACGTCCAACAGTCCCGAAGAGTCGAACGAAATTTTTGGGTACGTAAAATCATTTTGAACACAAGTGGAAATAAGAGACGCAGATTTTGATTGTGATACTGATGCGAGACAATAATATTTATCGCTTATCGGACGCTCCGACGTAAACAACTAATCACGAAATACATGAGAGACTACGGAGATCGAAGATAAAAATATAGACAATATTTTTATTATTATTTTCTTTATATCGATTACCCGTGATTTTCAAAACAGTAAGACATAAAAATTGTTTACGTCGATCGAATCTAAAAAATGACGCAACAAATCTCACGAACAATCAATGACTTTCTATTTTTTTTTTTTATCCTTTTTTTGATCGATACGTACAATTTCAGCGACGATCCGAGCTACCACGTAACAAAGTTTGCGGAAACGCCGAGAATGTCGACTTATCTTTTAGGCTGGTCGATTCACTCTTTCCAACGAATAAATTCCAGCGTGGATGGTCGTTTCTCCCTGTGGACGCGTTCGAGGGATCTGCTGCTGGCATCGAGCGTCGGCGGCGGCAGCGAACGAGTGCCATTATGTCTCGTCGAGATGCCAGCGATTTATTCGGCTCTCGAGAACTACACGGACCTGAGCAATCCGATTGATAAGTTCGATATTTTCGCCGTGCCGGACTTTAACTTTCAGGCGATGGAGAACTGGGCCCTCGTGACTATGCGCGAGTCCGTGGCGCTGATCTCGTACGAGGCCACCTCGCTGCGGCGCATCCACGGCAAGCTGACCACGATGGGCCACGAGCTGGCCCACACCTGGTTCGGCAACCTGGTCACGCCGTTCTACTGGAACGTCGCCTGGCTCAAGGAAGCCTTCGCGACCTACTTCGCTTACTTGGCCATCGGCCAGGTTCACGAGGACTGGAGGATGATGGACATGTTTGCCACGGAAGTGCTGCAAGACAGTCTGCTGCTGGACTCGGCGGATCACGAGCGCCGTATGAACGGACCGACGCTCGGCACCGCTGCTAAAGCCAAAGCCGCTTTGGACTTTGTTACGTACAGAAAAGGCAAGCAAAGCCATCGGTTCCTTTTTTTTTTTGTTTTTTTTTGTAGACCATTATGAACGAACGGAAAATGATGTTTTTCAATCGCGAACGGGCTACTTGCAGGTTCATCGATCATCCGCATGATTTCGGATTTGATGGGGGATGAGATGTTTCGAGACGCAATTCGGGCTTATCTTCAGGACAAGTAACTTTTTTTCCACATATATCTATGCATGAATTTCAGCTACGGGTAAATATTGACATTCTCGTATGATCTAGTCAGTACGAAGCCGTTACCCCTCCGGATTTTTACAAGAGCCTCGAAGATACACTCATAGCAAACAACGAGTCTTTCAAATATCCCGTTCCTTTCGGCGAAATAATTGATTCTTGGGCTAATCAGTCCAACTACCCTGTGGTTCAAGTGTCTCGCATCGAGTCCGGCCGGCTGCTATTGAATCAGGAAATTTTCAAGCTCGATCGCGGCAACGAAAGTAGCACGAGGCCGAGACAATGGTGGATACCAATTAAAATCGTCTGCGCCGCGGGCGAAGACGGCTACGGCATCGTCCAAGATCTCTACTGGTTCGAGCCGTCGAGCAGCAAAGAGATCGACCTGCCCGAGGGCGCGTCCGAGAACGGCTGGTTCATACTCAATCCGCACCAGGTCGGCCACTATCGAGTCGATTACGACCCGGAGAACTGGGAACTGCTGATGAGCCTTCTCGATTCGCACGACTTCAAGAGACTCACCGGGCCGACGAGGGCTGCTCTCGTCGACGACGCCTTCAATCTCGCGCGAGCAGATTTTCAAGATTATTACTTGCCGTTGGAATTAATCAAGTATTTGACGCGCGAAGACGAGTACGAGCCGTGGCTGTCGGCGAGCAGGGCCATAAATTTGATCTCGAGGGTGCTCGTGGATAGGCCGCACGTGAAGCTCAGTTTCGAGGTACACGCGGACTATATCTCGACGCGAGTAAAAATGTCAAGTGGCCCGAGTAAATATTTCCCTTTTCTCTTTCTAGAATTACGCCAAAGAGCTGATAAAACCCATCTACGAAAAGCTGACCTTCGATGAAAATCCCTCCGATTCGTATCGCGACAAAATTCTACGAAATTTGATTCTTTCCACCGCTTGCGCGCTCAATCTCGAAGACTGCGTTACGAGGACAAAATCAATATTCGATCAGTGGATAGCTAAAGACCTGAAAATGTATGTCAAGTTCTGCCAACATTTACATAAAATTTGAATCTTGCGCAAAATTTATACCTTTTTTTCCAGACTACCCGCGTATTTAAAAGAAATCGTGTACGCCGTCGGAGTGAAACACGGAAACTACGAGAGCTGGATGAATCTGTGGCAGCAGTTCTCTGAGGCTGAGCTTCACTCCGACCAAGAGCAAATGATGAGCGCCTTGGCTAGCACCGACGAGCCTCTCTTGATAAACAAGTGCGCAGAATTATATGTATTGCGCAACGCGTAGAAATCGTGTAGCGTCTTTTTACCATACATGAATTTTGAATTTTTGCAGGTATCTCACGTACGCTATCGATCGCAAGTTCGATGTGCCGAAGCAGTATCGCATTACAATCGTACAAGCCGTCATAGCTGGAAATAGTCGTAATATTGATACGACTTTGCAATATCTAGATATTAATTTAGATTCAATTCTGAAAATGTAATGCTATTTTCGTATGATGCTACAGATGAATGCGATTGGTTTTCAATGCAATAATGTCGTTTCGTACGATTTTTCTTTTCCTTTTTATTTTGCAGCCACGGCGCGGATTTTTTGCAAAGTATTTTATCGACGATCGGAGAACAGGCAACTTCGTTCGAGCACGAGAAGAAGGTAATTACAGAGCTCATTATTCAATTGGGTTGTTTACGATGTAGAAATAATCGAAGAGACGAATTTATTGAGTGTGTCAAAAATGACGTATTTTATTGGCTTTGTTGCAGATAAAATCTTTCATCCTAAAGCATTCTAATGATTTAAACAACACTGCTGATGCCAACGAAAAGATCGTGCAAGCAATGAGAAACAATATCTTATGGATCGAAAGATGCTCTAATCAAATTTTTGAATATTTCAATTGGAAAGAATGATTCATTATTTCGTTAAAATCGTATCAATTATAATTTTTGTTTAAAAAAATTTGCGAAAAATTCAGTTTTTATCCTTTATCCTATTTTTTTTTAATTCCATTTTGGCATTGTTTATCAATTCTACAAAATTTTTTACAGAAAAATTAATAAATTCGCGCAAAAAAACCCAGGGGCCAAGTAAAAAAAAGAATCAATGATACCCAAAAAAACCCATTAACTTTCTCTTATAAGGAAAAAAGGTGACGAATTATAATTCCATTTTTATAAATTAAGTACTTGACAGCGATGAAGGTGATACTCAAACGATACTTCCAAATAGGGAAAAATTGTAATCAATACACAATTGTTTCTTTTTTCTGTGGAAAGTTAATATAATTTTTTTTCTTTTATTGGTCGATAATTCGCTGGTCACATTCCTACTTTCTTAAACCTGAAAATTTGTTTTGATTAAACACTAGACATAAATTTTGGGTATTTGTTTGTTTACGTAATCATTCGATCTCTTAGTTATTGACTTGTAATTGGAAAAATGTTTACCATGTAATTAGTTTTAACAAAGCTGGCAAGTGTCCAGCGAAAATTTGTCTTAAATTTTTTCATAATATTTTATGAATTTGACTTTCCGAAAGGAATAATTGTGCTTTATTGACGTTTTTTTTCCGTTTGAAAATAGTCTGAGTATCGCCTTCACAACTATTAAGTACTTCTTTTATAAAAAAAAAAGAAATGAATCAATGGTTTTTGTATCACTGAAAATATATTTTTTACGAATCGTATTTCCAGTGTATTTGCCTAGAAAGTCACCCACCAGAATGCAGCACTATGCATAAACTACAGGGCGTGTAAGGTTTCCAACGAGAGATAAAATAGCATCCTACCGAGCTAAAAAATTTGAAAACTTTGAATTAGTATACAAACAGGGTAGGGAGACAAAATCTCCAAAACAAAAGTTCCAATGCCAAAATATCCAAAACCCAAAATTCAAAAAAAAGTCCAAAGGTACAAAAGATCCAATTATCTGATGTCCAACAAAATAAATATCCAAAATTAATTTGCCCAACCCCCTGAAGTCTTTAGGATCAAAGTTGTACCATATTTCGAGGTAAGTCGTATATTCTTAACTTGTTATCTCTTTTACTTAATTTTTTTAAATCAAATCATTATAGAGAACGTATGTCCGTGGGAAGAAAGCTAGAGGCAGAGCGAAGGCAGTGGCAGTCCGTTACGCACCAGTACTATGGAATCATTATCAGGCAGTGCTTGATTTTACAGCAAGAACAAATAACGCGTCAGAAGGTTGGCACAATCGGTTCCAGGTGATTGTGGGCAAGAAACACCCGAGCCTTTATACTTTCCTCACGGAGCTGCAACATGAACAAGGCGACACCGAAACACTGTTGCGTCAAATTCAGTTGGGCCAAGCTGTTCGCAAAAAGCCCGATGGTCACTTCGTCACAGTCAAGGATCGAATAATGAACATCGTGATGCGTTATGATGAATGCGTGGAGGACGATTTGCAGCTTAAATATATCAAGGACCTTGGCCACTACCTACACCTTTAATAAAAGATTACTTTTTTATACATATCTTTGTTTTATTTTTCTTGGGGATATTTTATTTTTTGGGCCTACAATTTTTGGATTTTTGGACTTTTTGGATATTTTAGATTTTGGACTTATTTTTGCCGTTGGATCTTGCGGTCTGGATCTTTTGGATTGGAGGTTTTGGTTTGGAGATTTTGTCCACCAATCTACAAACAGACCCTCAAGATATATACTTAGTAAGCAGAAAAAACATCTTAAAAATAATTGATTGATCATTAAACTTTAGACTATGTCGTGGTCATCTGCTGATAATGTAAGTACAGCACTGCAATAATTTAGCGATAAGATTAGACTTACGTTTCTTATCTATCATCAAGACAATTGTTCAGAATAAGTCCACTGATTTCCTACTTAAACTTTATACCAGTCGTTGTATTTCGTTCGAGAGTGACGGCTGCCAACAAGGGTTTGGTAGATTGTACAAGAGTCACCTCTTAACGGTTCATCATCTGATGAGCTGATTTTTTTTAGTTGTATTAAGTAACGAAAATTAAAAAATGTTTAAAGTACTGATTCTCGCAAGTTTTGCTTTGTGCATTTCTGCGCAAAATTTCAATCTCGACATCCTTGACCCATATGATCTATGGAACAGGTATACGTTGGAAAAACCGAAAAGCGTTCTTAGAGCTGCTGAAAAGATTACTTACAGACTACCCAATTCAGCAATACCATTGAGTTATGAATTAGAGTTAGAACCTGATTTGGAGGAAAATAGTGTGGACCGTTTTACTTTTAAGGGCAAAGTAAAAATAAAAATTCAAGCTAATTATGACACAGAAAATATAACTCTTCACGCAAAAAATTTAAAAATCTCGCCTAAAAACGTTACCATTAGATCATTAGAAAATGATGTTGATATTGCTATCGATTCAGAGAGAGATTTTCTAATTGTCAAGACAACCGAAGGAGAAAAATTCCTCTCAAAAAAAATTTACAATTTGGAAATATCTTATACCGGTGAACTGAGCAGTGAACTTCGAGGGTTTTACAGAAGCTCTTACCTGAACGACGAAGGCAAAAAAATGTAAGTCATAATTTTTTACGATAAAATAAAAAAATTTTGCTAATAAGAGATTTATTTATTTTAGATATTTAGCCACTACTCATTTTGAGCCTACTGGTGCTCGACGAGCTTTTCCTTGCTTCGACGAGCCAATGTTCAAAACTCCTTTTAAAATCTCTATTACTCACAATTCAACATACAATGCAATTTCTAATATGGAAGGAAAGAAGAAAGATATCGGTAACGGTCGAAGTAAAACAACATTTGATGAAACTCCGAAAATGTCGACTTATCTGGTAGCGTTTGTAGTGTCAGACTTCAAAGCATTATCCAAAAATTCTTTTAAGGTGTATGCAAGACCAAACGCATATAAAAATGGAGAACTGGCCTTAAATATGGGAGAAAAATTATTGAAAAAATTAGATGAATTCACAAATATTCCATTCAGCACGTACATTCCAAAAATGGATCAGATCGCCATACCAGATTTCGCTGCTGGAGCAATGGAAAATTGGGGTTTAGTAACGTACAGGTAAATTAATATTTACTATTAGAACTTTCACAGCTTTTATTTGTATGTTTCAATGAAGGTTTTTTTCTCGAAGAAAAAATTATAGATTTAGGAATTAAATTATAGAAAAATTATTGAATGAAAATAAAATATATTTTATATTTTTTGTACAAATCGGCAATTCTATATGCATTCAATGATCGTATTACTTTTAAAAATATATCGATTGAATGAATTAAATAATCAGAGTATTATCGACCAACAAATCAGAAACTTTTTATCGTCCCGGAGATTGCCGAAGTTAGACTGCAATACATCTTATGCTTGATTTTCTTGCGCATATTTTGAGTATTATTTTATTTTAAAATAATTATTGTAATTTATTTTATTTTTCTCGAAAACAGGGAACCATCGTTACTTTACAACAAATCTTCTACTACGTTGGCTGGAAAACAAAATATTGTCGAAACAATTGCTCATGAATTCGCTCATCAATGGTTTGGCAACTTAGTAAGTCCTAAATGGTGGAAGTACACCTGGCTTAATGAAGGTTTTGCCAGCTTTTTCCAAAGTTTTATTACTCAAAAGGTATTATTGTTTTTAACCTTGAACAAGTTTTAATCTTTAATCATAAATATTAACAAAAGAAAACTTTTAGGTTTTACCAGAATGGCGATCAGTCGATCAACAGGTAATCAAATCAACTCAAGCTTACGCTTTTCTTATGGACAGTTCCGCATATTCTCATCCAATGAACAATGAAATAGAAAAGCCCGATGACATCATGATGACGTTCGATGGTATTGCATATCAAAAAGGTAAATATATGTAAAAAAATTTTTTTTGCCATTCATTTTTTTTCTCGATAAAAGAGGGTATCTTAACATTTTATCACCGTCGTACACAAATCGATAATGATCAGAGTGAATACCTTACGGAAATTCTAGCAAAGACTAAAGGATTATTGCGGCTTAGGGATTTAAATATGAATAAGTTTGTTGAACAACATAAGCGTAAAAAATCCTAAAGATTAGATAATGATTAAGCCAATATAAATATACATTATAATAAGTTTGATGACGCTATTTTCTTAGGTGGGAGTGTTATTCGAATGATGCAACATTTTCTCGGTGAAGATGTTTTCCAAAAAGGTCTCCAAGAGTATCTAAGTACCAAGTATGTTACATGCATATTTTGAAGCAATGAACAATTTTTGCTTTATTTATCTAAATTACAATGAATTTTTTATTAAACTTTAGAGGCCTTGCTGAAGCAGATTCAGATGAGTTGTTCGAGGCTATATCGACTCAAATTCCAAAAGAAGCCAGTCTTAATCTCACAAAAATAATGAATTCCTGGGTAGATCAACCGGGTTATCCTGTTATCAAAGTTACAAGAAATTACGATGCTCAAAACAAAACTGACAATGTTTTAATTGAACAAGAACGATATTTGACTTATAATGGGAGTCAAAAAGATCTTAATTATACTTGGCATGTGCCGATAAATTACGCAACAGCAAAAACTTTGAACTTCAGTTACACAAAACCGGAGACTTGGTTAGATGAAAAATCAAAGAACCTCACAGTCGATCTTGGCCCAGAAGATTGGATTATTTTGAATAAACAACAAACAGGTTCGTAGCATTCAACTTATTTTCATCCTAATTTTATTTTTTTAAACTGCTTAAATATTTTTAATTCAATAATAGTTAAATAATAATCCGTTTTCTAATTTGTAGGATACTACCGAGTTAATTATGACGAAAAGAACTGGAAACTCATTATTAAGTATCTAAACTCTAATGAAACTCGTGAAAAAATTCACGTTTTGAACAGAGCTCAATTATTAAATGATGCTTTGTCATTTGTGCAAAATGATGCATTAGATTTAGAAATATTATTAAATATGACAGTGCATTTGAAAAATGAAACAGATTACATTGCATGGCACCCAGGATTTAGAGTATTATCGTGGCTTAGACAAAAATTGGTCAATACAAAATATGACTCTTTCTTCAGGGTACGTAAAATTTATTTTTATTGAATTAAATTAAAAATCAAATTTACAACTGTAAAGAATTTAATATAGATTTATTTTAAAAGTTATGATCTATAAAAAAAATATGAAACATGAATGCCATATTAAAAAAATATCAAAAATTTTTTTAGGAATACACGATAAATGCTACCAAAATATTAATCAATCCAGACGAGTATAATGAAGAATCTGACGAAGATCTTTTGAAGAATCTTAATCATGTTACTGCTTTCAACTGGGCCTGTACTTCTGGTCATGCCAAATGTTTAAATGAGTCACATGCAATGTTACTTGATTGGTTGAACGGTAATCATGTATCTCCAAATTTCGCACCATTTGCTCTGTGCCATGGTATGCGAATCGCTTCAATGGATACGTGGAAGCTGGTGTTAGATAAATACAACAAAACGACGGATAGAGAAGTGCAAAGTTCGCTGGAAACCCTACTTAGTTGTTCGAGTAATCGAACTATTTTAGATTACTATTTTAATTACACTTTGAAAGAAAATTCACTTATCAAAGATACTGCGATGATCTTGCATCGAATTCTTGAAAACAGTGCCATCGGAGTCGATGCAACGTTGGATTACTTAAATGATCGACTTATTCCAATAATCATCAACACGTATGTACCTTTATATTTTTAAACAAAATTAAGAATGATATTAAAATATTTTTTATTTTTGATTTTGCAGAAAAGACGTTGAACGCGTATCACAACTTATTGAAGTAATAGGAACAAAAATTACAACAGAGGAACAATATAAAAATGTGACATTTTCAATATAATCAACAAACCTTGATTATTCCTAACTAATAACTAAAAAATAATTTTTAATTTTTCAGCTAAAAAAGATCGAGCATCTAGAAATACCGTTGAGCATGATAAAAGAGGGCATGCAGAAAGCTGCTAATAACCTTGAATGGTTCAAAAAGCACGATGGTACAATTGATAAATGGGTTAAATCCTTGACTAATGATACTCCTGCTTTAAAATCATTTTCGATTGTAAATATTATATCTATAATTGTTATCAATGTAAATCGTTTACTGAATTGATAAAGATACGATAGATATACGTCTATTTGTATCATATAGCTTACGACTATAATAAAATTATGAAATTTTAAATTGATTCACTATGTAGTAGCCGCTGTTTGCAGTGTCTACTGAAATTTTAAAAATTGACTGTTCAATTATTTATAAGTAGTAAATAAATAAATTGAAACATTTACATCCACATTAATATTTGATTACATCGTCCACATAATTGAATTGGAAACATTTTAATTTTCACCATGTTATTTATAGTAAGTTTCGAATGTAATGCGAATGTCAAACTTGATTGTATTTCAAATGGCTGAAATTTCTTAAACATAGTAATTTTGACGTCATAAAGGTGCCGTACGGTGGACCAATTTCAATCTCTATTCGTTTCGCTATTCATTCGAACTTGACCTACATTCTTCAAGCGTTGGCATTTAATTTTGATTAAGCAATCCTTGATCAAAGGTTGGAATTTTTCAATTTCAACCTAAGATTTTTACTTTTTATTTTTATTTTCGCGTAAATTATCATTCGATACATAATTTTATTCGCATCTACCATTATACGATCCGCATTAAATTTTTCATTTTTTACAAATTCAGCAATATTTTGGAAATTTTATAAAAACAAAACTAACTATCTTTAATTTGACCAACTATAAAAGTCAATGTGAACGGGTTTTCATAGACTCAAAATTTTAAGATGCAATTATATCAAATACACCAATTTCAAATTGAATGTTTCACAAATCAATTATTCAAACTGGGTCTCGTCATTATTCATTCCTTGTTCATGGTCAATTCAATAAAAGCACTGTTAGCTACCTTACAATCGCTGGTGATATGTCAAATGACGTTTGTCAGTGGCCCGTGCAAGATGATGCATTTGAAGAGCTACGTATTTGGTGTGGTGCTGTTAAGTTTATTTGTACAAACATTAACGGATAAAAATGAGTGCGGAGAAGTGCGAGACGTTATTGAAGAGGATGCCCGACGATTTTTGCTGAATACGAAGCCATTGCGGTATCAAGTTTATTTGGATCCATGTATAAGCGATGGAAATTTTAGTGGATACATTAATATCGATCTATTGATACCTAAACCGACGAAAAATATTTCATTACACTCGCAAAATTTAGAATTTTGCGAAGAAGCTGTTTATTTGACTTTTAAAGCGAGTTCAAATGAGAGTTTGGAAGTGTTGTCGCCCGTGGTGAATGTCGAGTATAATACTAATACTTCGCAAGAGAATATCGAGGAAGAAGAATTGATTGATACCTCAGAAACCTTGAAACCATCTGGATTTTACTACTATAAAAATGGCCAAACGGTTACTCTCAAATTTGAAGAATTTCTAAAGCCCGGAAGATATTCGTTAGAAATGAATTACATGGGTGTGATAAACAGCGAACCTGTGGGAATCTATAGAAAATTCTACAAAGACTCCGATGGAGTAAAAAGGTAAGCATAATTAAATAAACTCTGATTAAGAAAAGTATATAAATTCTTTGGGTTTATTTTAGGGTGATGCTTTTGACAAACGCAGCTCCAACTTCCGCCCGGCGAATTTTCCCGTGCTTAGATGAACCAAGTGCAAAAGCAGAAGTTTACATCACGATGCAAACTTCGTTAAATTATACTACTGTCACTCCTCAAACATCCGAACAGTTTGAAGAATACAAAGAAGGGCAAAGATGGACTCATTTTCACCCCATTGGAAATATATCGACTCATCAATTAAATTTTGCTGTACTTTACAACGTGAAAAATACCACGAAAGTACATAAAAACAAAACCATTGTAACGTTCGGTATGGATACCGATTTGAAATCTGTAAAATTACTCCAAGAAACGTATGGAAAATCACTTGATTTAATGGAAGATTTAACGAAAATTACTTATCCACTTAACACTTTGGCAACTCTTGTCGTACCGGAAAAAGCTGATGCTGCATCTGTCGCAAGTTTAGGACTTATAACAACCAAGTATGAAGCGATTAATTTGAGCCCTTCGTAAAACTTATTGTAAATTTCACTTACTTACATGCAGAAGCTCTCATGCATTGTTCAACAACCGGTTTGGACCCCAGAAGAAAAAAGACGTAATTTTCCAATCCATTCGTGACGTAGTTGGCCAGTGGTTCAGTCAACTCACAACTCCGGAATCCTGGAAATACATGTGGTTGACCGAGGGCATCATCGAATACATCAAGTATCATTTAGCCGATAAGGTAATATTTTTGAACCACTTTCAATTCTGAGCGTTATAATTTGACGATAAAAGTTATTTAAAGATCGCTCCGGACTGGCGCTTGAAAGAAGCTTTCGTTGTATGGGAACTGCAACGAAGATCATTCATTCCTAATAAAATAACAGATGGACCACCCTTGACAATAAATTTGATTGACAGCACGAAAGACATGAGATGCCTAATGTCCCGCATGGTTTCTGTTTCTTCAAAAAGTAAGTATACTCCAATTCAATACTGCACAATCGTGTAATAAATTAACATTTAATTTTCAGCCGCTGCGATAATAAGAATGATGACGCACTTCTTATCTGAAAATATCGTGCATTCTGGCATTGCCAATCTTTTAAAAACGAAGTAAGTGAAAATGTACCTTGATTTATTTTACTGTATTTCATAAAATATTTGCTTGAAGATTGTACAGTTCAATAAAGCCAGAAGACTTTTGGGAAGCCATTCAAACTGCCATAGCCGAATCTAAAGATCTCAGAGTAGCCAATGCAAATATAACAGAAATAATGAAAACGTGGGTGGATGCTGAATTTTATCCTATTTTAAATGTCACTCGAGATTATAAAACCGGCTTGATGCTCATAAGTCAGTTGCCAGCCGTAACATTTTTCGAATTAACAGATAAGAAAGTTAAAAATGAATGGTGGATACCCATTACTTATACGGTTAAAAGTAGAAGTAATTTCAACAGAACGTGCCCTACTGATTGGTTGAAACCTGAAATGGAATTGGCGATCGAAGGAGTTGATTCGAGCGATTGGGTACTTTTTAATATTCAACAAACAGGTAACTCAATATCGTTTTTACTAAAGTATGACCCTCAACAATTTTTTATCAGATAATAAACATGAATCATAGGTTACTACCGAGTATTATACGACGAAGAAAATTGGAAACTTCTCGCGCATCAGCTTAACAGCGATGATTATCACAAAATACCACCGGTAAACCGTGCTCAAATTCTCAACGACGCTGTACAGTTTACTTTGAAAAGACACTTAAAAACCGACATATTTTTCAAACTTGTATCGTACTTGAAACGAGAAAAAGACTACCTGCCTTGGTTCAATGCTCAGTTTATACTCAGCTTTCTTAATTATCACCTATCGAATACCGAAGCCTACGAAAGCTTCAAAGTAAGATCTTTATATGTTTATGTTGCATAATAACGTTTCCTTTAATATCTTCCCATATTTTTTTTCAGCAATTTAGCTTGAAACTGATAATTCCATTGGTTGATAAAATAGGATATGAAGATGTATCAGGAGATGATTTTTCCACGTTAATGTTAAGACGAATAAGCAATCATTGGGCTTGTTACCTTGGCTATGAAAAATGTTGGAAAAATGCAACAAGACAATTGGACGCGCTTTTGAACAATAAAAAGCTCGACTTGTAAGTCATGCATTGAAATTAATAAGTTATAACTGTTAACAACTTTAATTTTCATTTGTAGAGGAGCAACTGATTTGCAAGACTGGGCACAATGCGTCGGTTTGTATGGAGCAAACGAAGCTACCTGGTACAATATGTTCAAGAAGTATAAGCAAAATTTCTCTGAAGACTCACTGGTATACTTGGCTTGCACGAACAATTTTGATATTTTAAATAGCTTCCTCAGCATGTCCATAGCGAATAATTCCATCATTCCTAAGCGACAAGTTTTGACCGTATTCAAGTTGGTTTGTTTGTACCCGTCATCTATAGATAAGCGCTTAAACTTTTGCATGAATTTTATTGATGAAAATTTCGATAAAATCAAGTACAGGTAAAAATGGGGCAAGATGAATATATGTATCAATAGGGATGTAAAATTATTCACTTGAATTTTATTTTTTAGACTTGAAAAACCAGAAGAATCATTTACGTATATTTTCGACCTAATAGCATCTGAAATACGACAAAAATCGCAGTTGGAAAAGGTATTATTGATTACGTTATGATTTATAATGAGTAAATTATAATTGAAACAATTTAATTTTCAGTTCCAAGGAATCATTTTCCAAGGCCGATCTAAATTTGCCTTTGTGAAATTAGGTTCCAGATTGAAACAAACAGAGAGTCGAGTTTCAATTTACGAAGAAAAAGCTAATTATTACAAGCCATTTTTACAAAAAATTTTATCTGAAATGTGATAAAATCTTCATTTTTTTCATCTTTTTTACTAGGAAGTTGTTAATATTTTTTAAAAATCGATTTTTTTAATCGATAAAAAACGATTTTTCAGTCATGACTTGAATATTACAATAAATACTGAAGTTCACAGATAACTAACCTTTCGTCGGTATGGTAACTTCCTGTTGAACCCAATCCGGTAAACAGTCCCACCTTGAAAATATATATCCTCTTCAAGAATTTAACTCTAGAAAGACCACGTATATAGGAACTTACGATCATGACAAGTACCCTTTCACTCGGACAAATGTTAGTTTTTTCTTCTGGGCTCGCACACCTACGGATATGTTGCATCATACGACGATGCATTCTTTTACGCATATTCATATTCTATTGCTTCCATGAATTTATCGATCATTGGTATTTGTATGTTGTAACTTTATAACTTCCATTTTTTTTTGTGGATTATCACAGACTGGGATGATTTGCTCAATGAATTTTTGATCGAGAATATGATTGTCAATTTTTTCCTAGTTAACAAATTTTACTTCACGAAGAAGCAAGAATCATCAATGAATTGATAATATCTCGACGTCTATTAATCAACATGATGCTATTTTTATTACTTTGTGTTATCATGCTGAGTTGTACAATTGTTACTTTACAAATGAAGTAAGATAAAACTTTTTTTTGTTTTTGCATCATTTTTCGACAAGTGATGAAAATGGCATATTCAATGAAAACTGTCCATGGTTTTGCATTAGCTCTAATTTTCTCTTGAATTAATCATCGCCTACAAACAAAAACAACTTAAAAAATCAAAGAGAGAAAAAATTAATATAAATTTAGAAAATATTTAGTAACGTTATTGTCAATATTATTCACAATCATCGAGTCATGTCGTCAATGAAGAATCCTATGGCGCACCGGTGACTTTGAATGACGCAAAGTACCTAGAACGCACCTTTTTCCCAAATGCAAAGTCCAAAAAACGCCAATCTCGAGTATATGTACAGGTCTCGATCGTGCGTAAAAGGCCGCTTACTCATGGGTTTGTACGATGAGTGTATTATATGTGTGTGCACACGCAGAGAGTCACGCCTCGGCAATCTTGCATCGCGCAAATAGTTTGTGAGTGGGAAAGAGATAGCGAGTGAGGCGCGATGCGGTCGACCGGCGAGAGCCGGCGAGTTTATAAACGCGACGGCACTCGTAACTACAGTTCATATACTCTGTGACTTTCCTAAAGTGTACACTTGATTTGACTTTCTGCATTCACCTACATTCATCGTGAGTACAACATTCATTTATTTGTTTATTTTCTCATTTATTTGAGTGCTCATTTAATATCAGTCATATTGTATTAATTCCTACACGAAAAGATAATACGTGTCAGATGCATTCAATTCGCGACAACTTGGTTAAAAGTACCTTATTCTCGTATGCGCCATTTATTATATTATTACTGTTACACATCTTAAACTGCTCTTTCGGTCGAAGTAAAGCGATAGTGAATTTACTTTATCTTTTTATGTCAACTTCTTTTGCTCTTCTCTGTATTTCGAGAAGTTTCCTTGCAATGAATCATCACTCCCAATTATTATTATTTTCATGGTGAACTAATTATACATATTAAAATAAACTAGTCGCACTTAACATTTGTTTTGTTTTATGACAAAACTTATAGCAATTCCATTTTATCTATTTTCTCAGTAATGCCATGAGTATCAGGGTCGCATACGTACATTACGTGATTGTGCAATACGCACATGAACGTTGCATTCCATTCTCATCGCGCAATCATGATTAGTATGTAATATTTCTAAATCAGCTAAAATAGTTGCGCAGCATCTTTACAAATAAAATAAAAATTAATCTCGCGACTCGTCTACTAAGCTTCTGACACGGTCAGAAATTTTCTAATGTAATGTAAATAAAAGACAAGCTTAAAGCAAATAGCAGATATATGTACTATACTAGTTCATCGCGATTCCGTACGAGCCACATACATAAATATACTGAAAAACCGGAATACAGCGAGTGGAGCGAATGTACTCGCGAAGAAACGGCAAGTTGGCGCTGCTGCATTTTGTCTCGAGTCTTGAAACGGTAAACCGGCACCCCATTTCGTGAATAAGAAATTCAAACGTAAAAATTTTCAACTTCAAATTGCTCCGTAAATCGGATGGATATATTTTTAGTGCAGGTCGCAAATCATTTATACGAGCGAGTAAAAAAAAAAAGATAAATTCAGACACTGCGATCGGCACTGAGTGAAAGTAAACGGGGGTCTTATCGCGATCAGAAAGTCGCGTTGCATGTGCACAATTTGAAAGGCCGCGTTATCCTTTCGGAGAATATTTTTACCCTTAGTACACGTTTCATACGAGACACTCCCACGTATACGCGCATTATTTAGTCTTTTGCAAAACAACAGTTCGTTGGAAAAATCAATAAAGCTATTGATCGAGTGAATGAAGAAAGCTACGTTCTATCGGTTACTTGTACGTGCCCCGATTTCATGAACGATTGTTTACCGAAATTTACCGCTTGAGGTCTTTAATTTTTACCAACATATCTTTAAAATTTCAGTATTCATATTAGACCAAAAGTATAATATTTTGTTCATTGTTGGTACAATATTTCGATACGTTTTTCATGTTTCGATGTATATTTCACTTCGGATAAAAGCAACCACGATTTGCGTGGGCAATAGGAAGTAGAAACTGCACCGACCTGAAATGTAGGCGTTGACATACGACTTGCATACATAATGGAAAAACTTAATATCCCTTATGCGTTAGCTTTAAAGCCACTGGAAATTAGTATTAGCAAATTCATAAATATTGAACATGCATATCCGGTCATGAATAAATTGTTTTCATGCGTTCATAGGTGTTACAATTTTTTATCAAACAAAGCGACTTACTCTTTTTTTCTTTCTTTCTTTCTTTCTGTCTTTCTTTCTTTCTTTTTTTCAATTCTTAGAATGTTAAATTTTCATTTGAAATCGATCGAAAATATGCCCTCGAATATTGTCCAGTAGTAAAATATAAAAAATTAAACTTGAAGAAATCTTTCATGAACTCATTACAATCCATGCTTTCTTTTTCAGACTTGAAAATGCCGATCGATCTGTACTACGTTCCCGGAAGCGGACCATGCCGCTCGGTTCGTTTGGTCGCTGCCGCTATTGGCCTCGAACTCAATCTGAAATATACGGACCTCATGAAGAAGGAACAATTGAAGCCTGAGTTTATCAAGGTAAATAATTCAAATTATATCATGAACCAAAATTACGTTTTTTTCAACTACTATCATAGAACCTAAAAAGTGAATGATTTTTTCAGTAATCATAGCAAATCGATACTTGCTATGGTACGCGCTAATTGTAAAATAGATAATAATCATAATACGATATTAGCTACGATAAAATAGGCCGTTACTTACTCCGAATTACTCAAAATTATATTTTAAATTATTAAATTTAGTCTGAGCTCAAGGAAATTCTATAGCTTTACATTCGCTTTATTAATTTACAGATGAATCCCCAACATACTGTGCCCACATTGGACGACGATGGTTTTTACTTGGGTGAAAGGTAATATTTGTTATTATTTCTTATCAATTTAAACAATTTAAAAAAAAATTATTTATTTTTGTGATATAAATATTCAAAATATTCATCGAAATGATTCATCATTTTAGCCGAGCCATTTGCACGTATTTGATCGAAAAATACGCCAAGGACGATTCCCTTTATCCTAAAGACCCAAAAAAGAGAGCCATCATCAACCAGCGTATGTACTTTGATATGGGAGTTCTTTATCAATCTTTCGCAGAATACTTTGTAAGTATTTTTTACATTTGATTTTATATAAATGTATGTAAATATCTTATAAAAAAATTTTAATAAAAATTATTTATTTTGCAGTACCCACAAATCTTTGCTGGTGCACCAGCTGACCCAGCTAAACTCGAAAAATTACACGAAGCTTTTGGATATTTAGAAGGTTTTCTAGATGGTCAATCTTATGTTGCCGGAGATTCCATGACCGTTGCAGATCTCGTATTAGCTCCATCAGTTTCCAATTTAACGGTAAGATCTTGAAATTATTGTACTTAATACTTACAATTTCAAGGTATTATATTTTCTTCTTTCTTTTGTCGTTTGCAGCTCATCGATTTCGATTTGAGCAAATACCCTAACACCGTCAGCTGGTTAGCAAGAATCGAAGCCGAGGCACCTAAGTACGATGAGACCAACGGAGAAGGTCTCCGAGCCTTCAAAAGTTTAATCGACCACTTGACCAAGAAGTAAACAAGTAATATTCCGAATATTTACAGTATTAAAATATCGAATGCACCACCGTATTGTGTACGACCAAAATCACTTATATAGTTATCATTTATGTATTATAATTAATTTCAACATCATTTTAATGAATGTATTATAATTAATTTCAACCGATTTTATAAAAAAAACTTTGTTGCACAATTAAATAAATTGTAAAAACCAATTTTTCGACTGAATTATTAATAAAACTCTTAATCTTTATCAATGAAAAGAACTACTTACCATAGATTATTAAGTCTCAATGATCTGACGTAATGTTACACTAGTTTATAGGCATACGAATGACATTCTTACTTTTTAATAAGTAACATCGTTTTTTATTAATGCACAATAACACACTTATGCAAACAATGTTTTTTAATCATTCAACATTTTTGATGTAACGAATTTATTTTCCGTTTTAAGCTAACAAAGTGGAAATGTTTATACCCGTTTAAACTGAATTTCAAAATATAATCACAATGACGTTATCAGACAGAGCTTCGTACCAGTCAAATGGCTGACTCATACTCAGTGCCTTTCGTACAAAATGATAGCAATCATTTTTGACTAAACTAGGTAATAACTTTCAATTCCGGGTTACCTAACTATTTGAAATATTCTGCATTGATGGAATAAATATGCGCGAATCAATTCAAATAGATGATTTTTATTATAATTACATTTAAATTCTACTAAAATTTTAAATAATACGATTTTAAACTGATTGGTTGCACCATTTAATGCGTAGCTTTCCCTTACGAAGATAAAAATATACTTCATTCAGTAAACAGAAAAATAAAATTTAGAGATGAAAATTAACCTGTTCATTAAGTCATAATATTTTCTGTATTTTACTGATTCTTTCAGCAAAAATTTGGCAGCGGTGGGATTCGAACCCACGCCTCCGAAGAGACTGGTGCCTTAAACCAGCGCCTTAGACCGCTCGGCCACGCTACCATATGATAGAAATCGAATAATAGATAATGTAATTTTCTTCGTTACTTACATTTATAATGAAAGCTTAAGATTCATGGCGAAAATTTATTGATACGATTGAAAATTCAAAATGATTAAATGTGATTTTGAACTACAGTATTCCTTGTTTTTAAAAATAATGCAAACACCTAATTTACCGACAGTGTTAATGAAACTATAGGTTCTCTTCTCATCAATGTTTATTTGATATATTTTTTATCAATTACGCGAATGCCTCAGTTAGTTTGTGCTGAATAATAATAAAATATTTTAATTAAAAATTTACGAGACAATCAAATATCGAAGTTAGCTCATGCAAATGGCAAATCTTAGCATTTCTGAAAAAGTCAGTTATCTTTTAAACTATGAAGTGACGATTCTAATATATTTCCAAAGCCTGCCATTAATATTTACTGAGCAATATATCGGTATGTCAAATTTTAAAATTCACCAGGAGTTACTCATACGTAAAATGGTCTCATTTTTGAAGAAACAACATAGTTTGAAGGCTATTTACTGGCAATTCTAAGACGAAGTTCCATAAATATTTTTTAAACTTACAGCAAAAATAGCACGCTTACTCATTTAACAACATTCAGCTAATGCGCGATAGAAAATGAAATGCTTAAGGTAAAGCTTGAGCAATCGCAAGCTCATTCTAGTCGTATAGAATGAGACTCTATAGTTATATAGAATACTAATTAAAAGCTCCAAAAAGGTTTCTAGTCAATGAAGTCTCTACCATTATATTATTTTTCTGCGGATCGCAAATGAATAAAGTTCTCACACAGTTTTAAGATGAAAATTTCTTTCTCTACGTTGTGCAAGAGTCCTACTTTCAATCCCGTCACGACTTTGAGCATTTTCAAATAAAAAATATTTATCGATGCCATGCGCACCATGTATAAGAATTTTTTCGTGCGCAAGAGCAACATGCAGATGCGGGTCTTTATATAGAATCATCCCCACACAAATTCACACCAACACGCACACACACCTGTCACGGATATATACGCGGCCACGCGCCGCGACTCGAATCACTTTTTGTGCTCGACTCTTAGCGGAAAGGGGCAATAGAGCTTTTTTGTGCGTGCGCGTGTGTACCATTACGCTCGTGAAACAATTAACCTTGTTTACTATTATTTTTGCGAAAAGTATTCATTTTAAAAACGCTTCATCATGCCGGGACGTCCTCTGTGGCAAGTAAGTATTATACAATTGAAAAGCAATAGTGAATAACAGTGATATTACAAAAGTGGCCTATCCGTTGCTTCTAACGTAAAGTGTTGTATTAAAACGCAAAAAGTGTCTGAATCTACACAATGATCGAATCAAGATTGTTTTTATGGGAATACTGTAACGGATGTGTTTGTTTTTTTACTATGGATTGCAAACCAATTTTGTCTTGTTTGAATCGAAATCTATTTCTTTGAGCCGATCGATTAAGTTTTCAACATTAGTGTAGTTATAGTGAAATACTAAATATTTATTGAACAACAACAAATTGAATAGTATGATAAAATTTTCACTCAAGTCTCAGTTCTCGAAAGAAATTATCCAGTTTAATAAAATTATTTAAAGACTTTATTTTTTGTCTAAAGCCGATAATTATTATGTCAATTAATTTGATGTGATGAGAAATATGCAGTAATAAACATTTCGATTTTAGGATAAATTTTATTTTTCCGTAAATCAATTTTGTTCATTATTCAATAAGTTTCATTATTTGTAACTTTTGATACTTCATTTTTGAAAAAAATTATTTTACAATTTTATTTTTAAATGCCCATGAATTCAACGTCATTTTCCGATTACAACATCTAAATAAATTTGTTACACATTCAGAAAACATAACAGTTGAATAAAAGTATGAGTATCGTGATATTCTCGTATCGTTTGAAAATAAAAAGCAACCTTGACATCATCTCTATAGAATGCCCGTGAATCACAGTCGGTTCAGCAGTTTTTGGGTGTCGACAGCATTTATATTGACATATTTATACCCTCTCAGTTATTTCAGATTTTATGAGAATTAATTTTCGAAATCAAATTTTGATCAAAAGAAATTCTATTAGTTTTCAAAGCCTATTCAGAAACTTACTTTATGGTGTAAAAATTGTAAATTCACTTAAAAAATATTAAACCTCTAATATTCGCATTAGTATTTAATCAACACTTGTTCAAGTGTACCAAAACGTTTAAGGTGTATTTCAGGTTTGATTAAATTGAAGTTGAAAATATGTTTGTGATGGGGTTGGTTAGTTAATAAAAAAAATTATTCTCCAAAATTGTTCAATTAGAGTTACTCTTTTTCAAATCTGTGTCGTCGTAAAAATTCTGTTGCGACCAACTTGACCAACCGTATACTATGTATGTTTCTAAGCAAAGCTCGTTTTCAATGTCAGATTTGCAAAATTAGAAAAATACTCGAATCAAAATTCAAAAATACTATGGATACTTCTGACGCAGATTCTAAATTTGTAAAGATTAAAATAGAATTGAAGTTTTAAAAACTAAGATGCGCAATGAATAGAAAATAACTATGGATGAAGAACCTCACAATAAACAAAAACGCTATTATTATCCAGAACACAAAATTCAGGCAAACTTTAAAAATACATGAATATTTACAAAAACAATCTAATAGAAATTAAATTAATAAATAATAATAATAATAATAATAATAATAATAAACTGGTAAATAGAAAAATTCAACATGTATTTTACAAATCATTCCTTGATTGTTTAATACATATCTCAGTATAATTGAACTCTAATTGCACTCTGTAATGTGTCACCATTTTTTCTCTACTTACACTTCTTTTTTAATTTATTGTATTTTATGCCAATTTAATTTATTTCAATCAATGATTAAGCGAAAAAATGGAATTATAATTTTTTATGTTAAACCAGAAAAAAAAATGAAAAAACAAAAAGAAGTATACTATAAATGAAAGTCGAGTAATTTTAATTATCGAGTTTATTTGAGTAATAAAATTTATTGCTGACGTCATATCAACAATGTTAATTTCATTAGTATATTCATTTTACACTTATCCAAGTTACCTATGGCCCATTAAACATCTAAACAGTGCATACGACAATCCTATATTCACTTTTTGGCAATAACCCAAATTTCTCAGCACAATAAGAGAGTCATTTCACAATTTAATCTTGACGTTAGACACATTGACCATAAGGCTGGTTAATAACTATTTCCTCAAATCACTTCCTTGTTTCATGGTCATTTTCCATGACATGAATTTTATTCAAATTTTTAAATAAAATTTTTTTTACATAAACTAAAATCTTTTTTGAAAAAAATTCATTTCTAAAAATATGCAATAGACATTTGCGTTTCTAAGTGCGATGTTGCAATAGTTTCAAGTCTATCAAGTTAGTTTACAATGAATAGATATGTAAAAGTAGATTCATGAGAACAAATTATCAGAAAAATAAAATTATATATTCTATACATTCAAAAGTAAATTACATTACAATTAACTTAGAATTTTTTAGTGAACAGATGAGTTTAAAAATATAATTTTGAAAATTGTTTAAATATAAACAATGGCTTATGAGGTATGTTTTACATGTGCCTTGTATTTCCAAAACCACCGTGCCCCGATTGACTGGCACCCTTATTAAATCCCATTTGAAGATTGAGCTGACCTTCGCTTGCTCGAAGTTGGTCTTCGGTGAAAGTTCTTTTATTTTCATCAGCCATTTTGGGTCCTAGTCTAGGTCCGGTGTACTCTGGATGTTTTTGTGTCTGAAAAAAATTCGTAATTTTGTATACAATAGTTTATTTTTAATCTTTCTTAAAAAATTATTAATAATGTCTACTTACAATCCTTCCCAAAGAGTACAAACATAATGTGACTTGAGGAATATTTCTTCTTTCGAAAAGATCGGCAGTCTGGAAAATTTCTTCTTCTGGTACGCCGTATTTCTTTATAGCAGCTTGAAATCTGGAAAACAAATGAACAATAAATAAATCTCATGGATTCATCTAAAATTTCTTAGCAGATCTTTCATACCTTTGAACATTTTCCATAAGTTGGAAGTTAGTACCCTTGGTCTGGATTTTTTTAACTGAACCTGGGACAATTTTGTTAATAAGATTGCAGAGGACAACCCCATCTTTCAAAATATCTTCATAATTTCCAGGTGGTAATTTTTCTCCCAAAACACTTTCGATCCACTCGAGAACTTCTTGTTCTTGTTCCTTGTTACGGGGCTGTAACAATAATTGAAAGTCAAAAATAGTAGTCAACATTAATTCAATATAAACCGCATTTCAACCAATATTCGTTTCACGTACTATTATTATAAAATAAATGATCAAGAAAATCTGAATCAAAGAAAATGCCTATTCCGAAAATAACCCATAATCAAGAGCTCTGGTATATCAATAAAAATACACTTTCTAAAAGCAAAATATACAGTTCGGTGAATCGAAAAAATGGTCTAACACTTCAATCTATTTTTAATCGGATGGTTCAATTCATTTCCTCTAGTTAAAAATTTATAAATATTCCATTTATTTTAATCATAATAAAGTCTATACGTTTATTTCCATTACTAGATTTCATTTTAAAATCGGACCTAAAATACAATTTCAAACAATAGTTTTAATTGATAAACTAAAATCCAAATTTTGTATATTTCTGTTGGTAATAAATTTCTATCTATAGCTGACAAAACTAAAATTTTGCAATATTGAACATGCTATTGAATAAACGTCGAAGAAAAGTGGGTCTTCAAAATTTCTCGATAAATGTTACAGAAATCAATGCAAAGTTATTCTAAAAATATTTTCAAACATCGAATATGAAGTGCTTATTATTTCAACGTTAGCGAAAAATATGCTGAATTATAGATAACTAATTATTGAACGATGATGACAAATCGACTAATGAAACATTGAAATGATTTAAAAAAAAATGAGTTTATAGAAATATGTTCAATATAAAGAATTACGTGACTAGTTTATTTTTGAAATGTTGTATGCATTTATCGAATGTAAAATTCAATATAAATTTAAATTTACGCTTAACGAGGGCTTTTGGCCACAGCAGTTTTTGGCTAAACAACGTATTTTTCACTTTTTTGATTAGTTTAATAGCAAATGTGAATTTAAACTTTACAACTTTTAATTATTTACAGAAATAATGAAACCCTATAATAAATAAGTAAAATCCTTACTGTTTCTTTAAATTTTTATAAATCTGTTTATTTTAAATGTCAATATAGAAAGTCAACCATTTAGTATAACACTATCTATTTTGTTTAAAACTTTTTTACAATGTCGTTGTTTCAACTGATCTATAACGTTTTTTGTATCAATTTTCACATGAAAATCGAATCATACTTATAGCTATACAAAATTGCACAGTTTTTAAAGTTTTATTAAGTATCACTGCAACGAATTAGATCTGAATATAACACTTTTAAAAAAAATATGTGGTTTTCAAACTGTACTATCAAAATTTAAACAAATGGTGAAACATGAAAAATTGAACAACAATAGCTTACCGGCATTTTGTTGCTGATTTGTTTGTTGCAAAGTTAACTATCAACGAAGATTAGAGCTATTCGATTCTATCACTCGAAATGACGAACTGAGGCACGAATTATCTGCTCGCAAGTAAAGTTTGAGACTAAGACAAATACACGATGCGTCGCGATGCTATATGGCGTTATCCCCACTCGGGCTACCCGTCTAGTGATCTTCAACAAACCGATTCGCCTTGGCACTTTGCCTGATTTATGCTTACGTTTCCAAACACCCCCGTAAGTTTGCGTATCTCTTATAAGCCATTTAAAATGTATACTTTCGTTTGTTAAGCTAGTTCTAGGGCCTGGAGGTCATTTAAATATATTATATGTGTGTAATCAGTACCCTTTAGAAGCAACTCAATGATTATATCTAGCATTTTTTGAAAAGTGTAACGAATTTGACATCTTTTTTCTTTCGCTTTTGAAACATATTTTGGGAATAAAGCCATCAATCATTTTGTCAGACTTCATTAATTTTCACCATACAGCTAATCAATTTCAAAGTTACATTAACTTTACATAAAAAAATAGGCCTCGAATCAATGTTTATGATTTATAAAAATAAATAAAAAATAAACGAGCGCACACACGTGAATAAACTGCCCGGAAATCGTTCCGCCAAAAAATATTTGAAAATAGACATTTGTATCTTACGATTTTATTAACTCGACGGCGATTATAGCGTCATAGTATCCAAAGAAAACATGTGCACGTGCGGTATAAAGAAATAAACAAGAGCGGAGGGCATTTTTCGTTTATACATCTAAAACACAGAGAAATAAATAACAAAAAAATGAGAAGGTGAGAAAAAATAACGATGGACAGTTGCCAAATGAATATGCCGATACGCTTCGAGAAAATCGTAATTTCTGGATTCTAGCCCGCGCGTTCAAATTTCCGATGATGCCATCGACTATTTTAGATTTCGTCAATCAGCTTCCAAGTTTATCGCCATCCTAATGATACACACTGGCCATGCGCGTTCGCGGTCTTTTGCAGAAGGTCGAGCTATAACGTGTCAATATGGATCAGGCTATTTTGTTATTTTTCGACCTCCATCAAGTTTAGAAGTTTACTCGATGTTGTCAGTCATTTACAAAGACTGATTCATTTTAGTTGTTGAAAGTTCCTCGGAACAAGTGCAACAATGTACTGTTAATCATGCAAGTTGAGATTTTCGTCTCTGGAGTAATTTTAAATACAGCGCGCGCCGTTGCTGATCGCGCGGATCATTTCGTTCGCCCAATCTCCGCTAGAGGGAGTCAACTCAAATTTTTCATGCCCACAAATGACATATCCCCGAAATTCTACTTAACAGGCACAGAGTCGTGTTGTAGTTAGCTTTGCGCAGTGGCGATATCGTAACCAATGAGGTTTTACCGAGGTGCGATTATTGCTAGTTGAAAACTTTTACCAATACCCCGCCAAGACGATGTGAAATACCATCGGCTAAGGCAATTTTTGAAAGTTTCTACGGAAACTTATTTAGAGAATTCAAAAATAAACACACTATGGAGAGTAGACATGTATAATCTCTATAGGCACTTTCATCTTCCGAATATCGAGTGAAAGCATATTGAGAGTGTCATTTAAGAAGTACGACTACCGTTTGAGTACTGAAAATAATATACAACTTATAGGTTCAAACGTTAACCGGGTCTCGTGCACTTTTTTGTTGATTTCTATACGTATATTTTTTGCTGTTCATTCGAAAACTGGCTTATTTATTTATTATAAAAAATTTATTTGGTTATAATATCGTATCTGCATTAATGTTAAAGTTAAAGATGCGATAAAAATATATCTTATCTTTATTACTTGCTCTTTAAAGCACAAACATTTTCTTTTTAAAAAAAATATCTTTTCAAAATTGTTTTTACTCGATTGTTAAAGAGATTTGAAAAAGAAAATTTATGGAAATAACAAGATTCTTGAAAGTTCTACTTTGATCAAGATCGCTGTTGACACTGATACTCTTCTTCTTTTTTACATAACCATAATATTCACTGGCTGAATGTGGTCGCAAACACTCAACGTTCACTACACCATATCCCTGACAGTGTAGTAGGCAAAATCTTCAATATGAACATCCTTGTCCCGAAATTCATTAACTTGCGTTAAAATTTAATAATATTACAAATGCTTGAAATATTCGAATGCATCATTACTGAAATATTATTGCTGCATGTTAAGAATACATAGTATTTAAAAATCAATTAACGCACCGTTTATCACTACTTTGAGTAAATTATTTGTTCAGTAAACAACCACGTTATTATGTGGAAGAATATATTTTTACTGAATTCTTGCGGTTATATTAATAATTTCTTTTCATGCTCTAGGTAGCTGGTAAACGCGAACCGGAACAGGAAGCAGAGGCTCAGCAATGGATAGAATCAGTCATTGGACACAGGTTCCCACCTGGTAAGTTGAGAACAGCTGCACCGGCATAAGTGCGCCTCGCTGCGACATATTTTCTCCCCTTCGTGGCGCTTTGTTAATACATGTACAAGTATACTCGTGTACACATGCAAACATATCGATTGTTACCGCGACCCCCAACCAGCTCTGCACACATGCTCGAAGGGTAGAAAAACAGCTACTCGTCTTTCTGCGATCCTGATCGTTGGAGTCACTTTAGGGTTGCAAGTCTAGACTTTTGTCACCCTCCCTTAACGTAAGACCTTACCGACACCTCGTACTCTGACACGGTATTACGTGCGTTTGTGTATTATAGGCGCATATGCAAGCCGAAACTACCATCTGCCGCGACTTATTTCACTGCACGGATGGCCGAAAAAAATGTCATATAATTTAATCCAGCCTGAATTCGTGAAAATTTATTTGAAATTGTCATAAATCATTAAAAATGATTGTAATTAAGCTGAACAAAAACTTGAAAAGCTCGCTGAGTTATCACGTCATCATCATGGATTCCTGATCGACGTAGGTAACGAAGATCCGCAAGCGTTTTTCAACACTCTGTACAAAACGTAGCAGACGCTTGCTCACCCTCGCGTCTACTGCTTCGCGATCTATTAATGGAACTGGTGGGAGTGAGACGGAATAAGAACATAACAGTGTGCCCGCATGCCTGTGTAAGAGTCGAGTGCAGGGGGTCTACATGAATACGGCCACGCATTTACGCATGTGTGTACAATGGATATAGACATATCGATTCGCACACGAGGCTGCGTGACGCCCACATTTAAATACCCTCCAAGTCGATCATTGCACCCTGATACTGACGTCAGAACGCGTGACGTCGAAAAGGTTAAATTTTCTCCGTCGACGTCGAATAACGGGATTTGAGACGTCGCTCGTCGTTTTGCGTAAGTAATACTTTCAACCCCTCTCAGTCAGAACTGTAGCAATGGCTTACTCCATTCTCGTATCCCATATATGCCGTCATTACTGACGTAAAAATGATCCCTCTTATACATACGAGGTGTACTATCGGATCAAAAATTCGACAGAAACATTGAATTTCATTCGTCGTATATATTATTTCAATTTGACTCCTTGCAAATAATTAAATAACAAAGACCCCAGCGAGACGGGGTGGATAGAGTGACTCCTGTGACTCTTACTACCCTGGCAAAAGGCGCGCTTCATTACGTCACAGTCAGCTGCTCACATGTATATATCTACAAACGCTTAGTGTGCTGGCGATTGCCGTCAATATCAGACCCCAAGGCTCGACTGGCGGGGATTTCGGTATATATATGGCTAAGAATAGCTGGCGCGCTCAAAGGGAAGCGTATTTTTGCACCCCCTGCGACGTACATGCAACCCTGATGCGGGAAATACGCCGAGCATCGACGCAATCGCCGTCATTTTGAAAGCACTACACTGAAAGCTATCCCATTTGTATTGCGTACACCGTTTGTAATCCCCGGTATTCCAAAAGTTTCAAGGTTCCTTGCTAAAAAATCGTGTAAAAGTCAAGTTTTATACAAGCTATTGTTTCTGACCTGTTGCTTATTCGAGACCTTCTCTCTTGTTTCGAAAGCTCAAGTTATTTTTGTGAACTTTCATAAGCTCACTTTTTCTGTTATTTTTCTCTACAGAGAAAAACACGTATCGACTTGTTTGAAGCAAGGAAAGTCATTTTCGCTAAAGTTAGTTTTGAGATTTTAAGTCGCTACTCTTTTTTTTTAAATTTACAATACACAATACAATTTGTGTTTGAATCTGAATAAAAAAGTAGCAAGTAATAATTTTTTGAACCCTTACACTCCGCATTAAAATCGTGAGTCGTACTTCCTTGAAGCAAGCGTGAAAGTAGTCTTGACAGTCAAACTTTGTGCTCAAGCAGCAAGGGCACCGTTCTCGAGTATAATTTTACATAGCGCTATTTCTTGGCAACGTTTTGGCGCGCTACTGACAGCGAAAAATGCAAACGAACAAATGGTCGGTGATCTAGGTTGAAAGCTCGGGAAAACGAGCCTCCACCGCGACACTGCCAGCCTGATGACGAAGGGAAGCCGGTGGAGATGGCTCTCTCCGCGTGCCGTACGACCTATTCGCAACACCCTGCCATCGCGTGCCGTGCATACGTACCATAGCTTTGCGTATGTGCGTACACGTACATGCATATACAGAGAGACCCTCGCGCTGTCGTGTGCGCTCTCGGTGCGAAGAACGGGGTAGGGAGTGAAAGTTGCGCGCCGAGAGTGCCCGGAAAAGCTCTCGCGACTGAGTAAGCGCCTGGTCTTTCTCGATCGAGGGCGCACCTGTCGGGGCAGCTTCGACGCTTTCCGTGCCGAGCGATGAGCGTGCGCTCGAAGGTGCGTTGATGAATAGACTAAATGTCCTTATTTATTCATAAATTATTATTGCGTAATTTTTATTAGTCAATGTTGTTCGAACTATCAGTGAATTTATTTAATTCCTTATTTATTTATGTATTTTTGATGAATATGGTTTTTGTATTATTTCCTCTGTCTAAATCACCTGAATGAGAAATCATCATTATTAAATTAATGTAAGAACTTAACAAGTACGCGCTAGTTTGTTTTATATCTTGAAATGACGATGTAATGGTATTGCAACTTTAAATTTTATTATTAAAAAAAAAGATTATTCCGTTATACAAAAAAATGAACTGAAATAAAAAGTGAGATTAAAGCGTGTTAGTGAGAAAATGGCTAAAACAAGTAGAAGCGAGAAACGGCAAAAGAGAAAGAGAGACAGAGAGGGAGAGGAGGTTTAGGGGTGTGTAGTGAGTGGGTGTGAGTAGCAGGGAAGGAGGGCAAGTGGTGAGGGTGTGTAGGCAGACATTACTATAGCTGGCAAAACATCGTCTCTATATTCTCCTGAAAGCCTGTTCCCGCAACTAGGCGTCGTCTTGGATACCCCTCGTCTAGGCGCGCGCTGCACTTGCGGCTAGAGCTTGTAAGCTTCTACTCGCTCGCTTTCTCTCTCACTCTCACTCTCGCTCTCTCTCTCTCTTTCTCTCTTTCTCTTTCTAGTCAATCGGGCGACCAGCTACATCGACTGCAAGCCGGATAAATCGGGCTTTTGATGTTACTGGCCCGTTTTAAACTCTCAGCCTACTAACGCGAGACTCGCACGCGATGCCCCGAAAAGTTTTCACTTGAAAATTACGAAAGCGCTAAAATTGCGTTTTCGCGACGGCTTTCGCAGCCATACCTGTACGCATGTGTACACGGCAACATGTATACGTGAACGCAAGGGCGGGAAGTAGAGGAGGAGAAAAAGTGAAAATCGTTGCGTCGGGAAAGCTAGTCGCCGTCGCATAGAAGCCTGATCCTGGAAGCTTGCACGGCTTGCCAAGCACGAACTTTTGGTTCCTACCGAATGACCAAGTAGTTCGAGGACTACGCGACTAGACTGCCACGGCTGAGCTCGGCTCGCTCGTGTGAATTTTAATGATTTTCCGCTCCTCGTATCATATGTGTCGCACGCGCGATCGCTTGCTCGCGAATGTTAAAAGCCCGGAACACGTGTGCCCGAGCTCAAGCTTTTAAATTTAGCCTCGCCAAGTAGAAGTTTCGTACGCGGAGATGCGTGCGCGTAGTCCGCTTTTGAAAGCACGAGCGTTAGAGTTCCAAAGATACACACGAGGCTATTAATAGCTAATACATGATCAGCGCTACGGCGCGGTAAATATTTTTCAAGACCGGACCGATGGTCGTGCGCGTATCGATCGTGAAATCGAGAGCTTGCGACGAGAGTCATCGTCTGAACGAAGACTGTATCGTGCAACGCTGCGCACCCGAGCAGCCGTCGCTCCGGCGAAGAAATGCGCTGGGCAAGTCGGTATCGATTAGCCGTCACTCGTTCATCATACAACGATGTAGAGACGCTATACGACCAGGGCTGCATACAGCTGCAAGCTCCAATTTGACCTATTCGCAAGCACGACGCCCCGACGAGTAGCGCGCACACACACACACGCTATCCTACGTCCATGTATAGGAATTCCAAAGCCGTATGACAAATGAGTGCAAAGGTGAGCGATTTCGGTGGATGGGTGTGTATCTGTACTGTACAGGTGTGGTAATGATGACGAAAAAGCTCACACGTCAGTCATCTGTTTGTCACGACGGCACAACTATCCCTGGCGCACCAGGGAACCAGCAGACAGTTGAGGGATTTATGGAGGGTGTCTCGTGATGTAGTAGTGGTGGCTATGCAGCTGTACGTGTGCACGCATACCAACACGACCCGCAAGAGGCAGAGAAAGAGAGGAGAAGACCCAGACCTTGAACTGCGTGAAAACTCGATGTATACCGTGCCGCATCTAGTTGATTTTACAGACGAACATTTTCTCCGAGTGACATTTTATCTCGTGCTTTTTTAGTGTTTCTAACATTATTTGTTGTTAAATGAACGATGCAATGAAAATGAATAATTTTTGTATTTTTAGAATGTTAGGTTTATTTTAACTCGTGTCGGAAACATTTAAATTTAGCCCGTACCAATAAAACATCGAGTGTAATAACCGCGAATAGATTAATTATCAAAGATCATTACCCTTTGTTTATTTAACTTTTAAATTAAAACTTGATTTTATTATGTGTTATAGACTTCTTCATTGTTTAATAACATTTTCGATTGATGCAAAAATCAAATTAGGTAAAAACACTGATGCCCAGTGCATTATTTATTATCTGCTCATAAATTAAAAATTATATGAAAAGGCTATATACAAATAGTTAAAACTAATGTCAAAGAAATGTCTGCCAACTCGTTGAAATATTCCTTCGTCTGCTATGAGCTTCTGGGTGAATAAATTCAAATATCTGTCAGCTCTGTATGCCTTTAAATTAAGTACTAAAGGGAACGTCATTCATATTTTTGTTTACGTTAAAATAATAGTGCAGATGTTTCTTGTGGCCAGCAAACAGCGCATCCTCATCAGTGGTTCAAAAAACCTAAGAAACATGTACTATGAG